GCTTGATGCAGACTACATGTGGACCAACATAACTAGCCATGCTGTCATATTATTCTTGCAACAGGAAAAATTTCGCGATAGGATAAAAATCATTAGTTCTCTCTTTTTTATTAATTGGTTTAAGCTATTTATTTATTTATTTATTTAAGAAAATATTTCATGGGCTCTAGTTCTTAATTCGGCATTGCCATTATATACAGTTATTCTTGTGGAAAAACACGTGAAAAAACACAAAATATTCAGAATCATTAATCGTTCAACCAATCTGAACCTATCTCGGCATATGTGTGATTTGCTGTCGATGATAATGATGATGATTCCGCAGTAGAAATAGTACTAACAGAAGCACGAGGAACATTCCAGCTTAAATGAACCGATTGAAAATGACAATATTTGATGACATAGAAGATAATAAAACCAACTATAATCGAAAGTCCACACACTCCACCTACAATAGATCTAACTAAAATCTTAATATTGATCTTGCTCTTATCTGTCTCTGACAGCTGACGAGAGAACTTTTGTATTCGTTTATTATTTCCATCAGCAATGATTAAATTTCCTTGTGGATCTCTAACTATCCCACCTGGTGAATTAAATTGGTTCGACTGATTGCCTCGTCCATTACCACCGACGACAACTGTTCCTGTCGCTCCTTTACCCCATGATAAACTTGACCACTTTAAAATTCGATCATTTCCTGTGTCAAGAACATACAATGTAGTACAATTATCATTCATTACAACTAACAATGATCTTGGTACACGTAATTGGTCATAATTTGAACCACGTCCTTGACCACCTGCTAGGGTGGTACCCTCTGTTGAATCATATTCAGTAAATAGTTGTACTTGGTCCTGGTTCTGATCGACAACATAAAGCATATTATTTTTATCAACAAAGAGATCTACTGGCGAAAATTGGTCACCTTGTTGTAGAACAATTTCTCCTTTCTTAGCTTTGCCAGATGTCGGCCACTTCATTATGCGATGATTATCATAGTCCGCAAGGTAAAGATAATCATTATCAGTAACAAATAATCCAAAACACTGTGATATTTGATCTGTTCGATTTCCCCTTCCATTACCACCAGCTATAACTGTCCAATTCTCACTCGTGGTAAGTGAATATTTCAGTATTCGAGGATTCCTACCACTATCAGCAATATATAAATTATCGTGTCTATCAATAAAAACAGTAGATGGATATGAGTGCTCGTCAAACTTGAATGGTAATGTTAATGGTTGGAATGTTTTAATTAATCGTACTTGATTACCATCCGCTATATAAAGACTCAGATGACTATCGATCGCTATCTGTGGTAAAGTAATAGTTTTTTGCCAGTGAAGTAATTGAATATCAACAATTGTTGTACCATTTTGATTCCAGACTACACTGTCACAACATTGTTTTGTCAATAGTACTTTTGTAATAAGAAATAAAATCGTAATAATGTACATAGAAAAACTCATTTGGTAGAATTCTGATTTTTTTGTACGTTTCACGGTTATGTATGTTGATATATTACACAAGAGAGCGAAATTTATGTTTTGTTGGCATTTTCCGCTACAGAAAAGTACACTCCAATTATACGCATATGAATATTAATAAAAAAATAAAATTAAAGGAATCGTGATTCTAAACGTCCAATGGCACACTTCTACAAACAGTATTTCTGTGAAAAATTATATATGATATTAGTCGAAAAATCGTGTGCTAGCACAATATCGATTCGACGCTTTACACCTGTTCATACCTATTCGAAATCTTGTTCTTCACCCAAATGGTACAGATTTATAATACTACAAACGGCTTTGCAGAAAAGACTTCAAAGGCCCTAATCAGGGTATCCGTACTACAAGGGTTAAAAGATTTTTTTGAGGAGGATGTTACATGAGCTCATCGAGAGCTGTAACCTCTGATATATTCAGGCTGTGATAATAAAGTCAATGGAGCGATGATTAAGTGCTCGAAAACATTGCCCCATTTACGTGTTAGCGGTGTTAGAGAAGGTTAACAATGTTGATTGTACGTCATCCGATCGTTAGGGACCTGCGAGTGTAGGATTTTTTTAACATTTCTACGATTTAGAGGCAATAAATACAGTATTGTAGATATTGATACAGGAGTCAGATCTGGGCAAGTCAAGTCAGACTTGACTTGATTTCACTTGACTTGGTCCAAAATTTTCTGGGGGTATGACTTGACTTGAGTTGAGAAATTCTTGTCAAGTCATTTCTAGTAAGAGATTTTCGTTTAAATTAGACTTTTTCTACTATGAAAGAGAGTTTCTGAGGCTATAAAAACTCTCGCACCAAAAAGGTGCTAGCAGATCTTATGTTCTGCCTAATTTTAACCGGATTTGACTTGACTTGGACAAAACATTGTTCGACCTCGACTTGATTTAAGTTGACTTGAAAGTGACTTGACTTGACTTGTGAATTGCAAAGCCTCTGACTTGCCCTTCTCTCAACTCTAGAACAGAGTTCAAGAGAAACTGAAAATTCGAAAAAACATCAAAGAGATTGTAACTTATCTTTTCTAGACATAGACCAAATACATTTTCAACCTTATATTAAAAAGGAGCAAATATTTGTGCATATTTTGAACTGCTTTTTATGTATTGAAAACCCTTTAGATTGTAATTGCCAGTCCTATTTGTAAGCCAAACAATCTTTGTGACCAAAACAAGTGTCGTACCCGGTATAATCAAGGAAGCCTGCATCAAATGAGATACTATTCACGTGTTCAAT